AGCCTGGCTTGTGACTGAGCAGACCTCCCTCTGTGGGAGCACACTGATCACCAGGGGGCAGCTCCTGCATTGAGCGTGTGCCCCCTGGTGGTCAGTGTGTGTCATAGTGACCAGTCATTCCCAGTGGTTCTGCTGTTAGGGTCAGTTTGCATATTACCCTGTTATTATATAGGATGGTTTATTGCAGGTTACATACCTGCGAATACAAATGGTGGTTAAATGTCTTATTCAAAGTTGGAAGTGCTAACAACATATTCCATCTAAATGGCAATTAGGTTCTGTTATAACTCATGATATTTAACAATTTCAATTATCATGGGGACATTTTTAAAATTAAAAGAATATCATGATACTAGTCGGCAATAAAAAAAGAAAAACAGTACTTAATATGTGCAACAAAATGGATGCATTTTAAAAACATTGTTAAAGAAACCAGACATAAAGTTATGTCTAAGATGTAGATGGCATTCTCTTAAGTTGCTCACTGCACAGGGCTAACTGTACATCAATGGCTCTGGTAAGACAAGCATCATGAAGTTCAATGAATACTGAAAACAAAGCTTTACCATATCTTCATCTCCACCTAGCATCACTATCACACTTTTCTGGTTAATCAGTTCATCACCCTCCAGAGTTTTTATTTCAAACCTATAGTTCTTTCAGTCTGGCATAATCCGAACTTCTCCTTGACTCCAGATGACCTTGCCTCTTATTTCAGGAAAATACCCCAAATCATCTGATGGGAACTCCCTCAATTCCTGATCGTCAAATGTATGCACATGGGTACCCATTATCAAAATTCAATCCTGCTACCTTTGCAATGGATTCCATCCTCTCTCACCTTCTTAGAAAAATTACAGCAACCACTCTGACTTTTCTGTCCTGGTATTATCACCCTCTGTCTCTGGCACAAATTATTTAACCTCTCTGTACTTTATTATTCTCTTCTGGAAAAATAGGGAGAATAGCACACAGCATACAAGGTGCTTGAGAGAATTAAATGAGTGCTTAGAACAGTGTCTTTTGCACAGTATGTACAGTGTTACCTACAATTAATTTCATGTTTCCACTAGCATTTACCCCACCTTCTCTTTGAGTCTAAATTCTTAAAATAGTTTTCTACTTTAATAGTTTCTTCTATAAATGGTCTTCAGTCTACTGTAATGAGGCTTCAGTGTCCATAATTGCATCTCCCATGACCTCCATGCACTAAATCTTATGAATAATTTTATAGATCTCGTTTTACTTGACTTTCTAGCATTTCACAATTGTCATCTTTTCCCTTGGCTTAATTGGTACCAAAATTCCCTCCCCACTTCCTTACCGTATTTGTTAGTTTTTGGGATTATCTTCTCTTCCTCTAATCCAGTGGTTCTCAACCTAGGTTGCACATTAGAATCACCTGGGAATCTATTTAAAATCCTGATTTCTGGACCTCATCCTCCAGAAACTGTTTCTTTGTTACTAATGTTGTGGCCTCACCCCATAACAAAGAAACAGAATTTCCAGAGGATGAGGCCCAGAAATCAGTATTTTAAAAAGATTCCCAGGTGGGCCGTAACCGGTTTGGCTGAGTGGATAGAGTGTCGGCCTGCGGACTGAAGGTTCCCTGGTTCGATTCCGGTCAGGGGCATGTACCTGGGTTGCGGGCATTTCCCCAGTGGGGGATGTGCAGGGGGCAGCTGATCGATGTTTCTCTCTCATCGATGTTTCTAACTCTCTATCCCTCTCCCTTCCTCTCTGTAAAAAATCAATAAAATATATTAAAAAAAAAAAAGATTCCCAGGTGATTCTAATGTGCAGCCAAGATTGAGAACCACTGCTCTAATCCAATACAAATTCCTCAAGGCTCTGTTTTGATTCTTTTCTTTCACTGTATAGAATTACCTCTCCCTATATTATTTCATGACTTCATGTACCATTTGTGGCAGACACTGTAAGTAAACTGACTTAATACCCACTGCCACTAGCTTTTCCTTGAGGCTTAAATGTGGCCATGTGACAATTTTGGGAAGTGAGACTGAAAGTAAAGTTAGTGTAGACTTTCTTGAAAGTTTTTGCTTTTCTGATGAGGACAGTTGAGGGAAGCACTTCTTCATGTGTGGAACCTGTGATGCTGAATGTGTAGCAGTTATCTGCCTCCCTCCCCCATATGACAAAGAGCTAGTATACTAAGGATTGTTTTCATATTTACATTTCCAGTCTGGGACTTTCTTCTTGATCTTTAGATCAACATAACTGCCAGCTCTACAACCCCTTCTGGCTGTCTCACAGGCACCACAGTGACCTCAAGTTGAGCAGTTCTAAAACAGTATGTCTCTTTATTTTTATTTTTTAAAATATATTTTATTGATTATGTACAGAGAGGAAGGGAGAGAGAGAGTTAGAAACATCGATGAGAGCGCGACATCGATCAGCTGCCTCCTGCACTTCTCCTACTGGGGATGTGCCCGCCACCCAGGTACATGCCCTTGACCGGAATCGAACCTGCGACCCTTCAGTCCACAGGCCAACGCTCTTTCCACTGAACCAAACCGGTTTCGGCGTATGTCTCTTTATTTTTATTTTTTAAAATATATTTTATTGATTATGTACAGAGAGGAAGGGAGAGAGAGAGTTAGAAACATCGATGAGAGCGCGACATCGATCAGCTGCCTCCTGCACTTCTCCTACTGGGGATGTGCCCGCCACCCAGGTACATGCCCTTGACCGGAATCGAACCTGCGACCCTTCAGTCCACAGGCCAACGCTCTTTCCACTGAACCAAACCGGTTTCGGCGTATGTCTCTTTATTTTTATTTTTTAAAATATATTTTATTGATTATGTACAGAGAGGAAGGGAGAGAGAGAGTTAGAAACATCGATGAGAGCGCGACATCGATCAGCTGCCTCCTGCACTTCTCCTACTGGGGATGTGCCCGCCACCCAGGTACATGCCCTTGACCGGAATCGAACCTGCGACCCTTCAGTCCACAGGCCAACGCTCTTTCCACTGAACCAAACCGGTTTCGGCGTATGTCTCTTTATTTTTATTTTTTAAAATATATTTTATTGATTATGTACAGAGAGGAAGGGAGAGAGAGAGTTAGAAACATCGATGAGAGCGCGACATCGATCAGCTGCCTCCTGCACTTCTCCTACTGGGGATGTGCCCGCCACCCAGGTACATGCCCTTGACCGGAATCGAACCTGCGACCCTTCAGTCCACAGGCCAACGCTCTTTCCACTGAACCAAACCGGTTTCGGCGTATGTCTCTTTATTTTTATTTTTTAAAATATATTTTATTGATTATGTACAGAGAGGAAGGGAGAGAGAGAGTTAGAAACATCGATGAGAGCGCGACATCGATCAGCTGCCTCCTGCACTTCTCCTACTGGGGATGTGCCCGCCACCCAGGTACATGCCCTTGACCGGAATCGAACCTGCGACCCTTCAGTCCACAGGCCAACGCTCTTTCCACTGAACCAAACCGGTTTCGGCGTATGTCTCTTTATTTTTATTTTTTAAAATATATTTTATTGATTATGTACAGAGAGGAAGGGAGAGAGAGAGTTAGAAACATCGATGAGAGCGCGACATCGATCAGCTGCCTCCTGCACTTCTCCTACTGGGGATGTGCCCGCCACCCAGGTACATGCCCTTGACCGGAATCGAACCTGCGACCCTTCAGTCCACAGGCCAACGCTCTTTCCACTGAACCAAACCGGTTTCGGCGTATGTCTCTTTATTTTTATTTTTTAAAATATATTTTATTGATTATGTACAGAGAGGAAGGGAGAGAGAGAGTTAGAAACATCGATGAGAGCGCGACATCGATCAGCTGCCTCCTGCACTTCTCCTACTGGGGATGTGCCCGCCACCCAGGTACATGCCCTTGACCGGAATCGAACCTGCGACCCTTCAGTCCACAGGCCAACGCTCTTTCCACTGAACCAAACCGGTTTCGGCGTATGTCTCTTTATTGACTCCACCTTCCTCTGGTCCTTCAAGTGATCCCTATCTTGATAAATGGCACCACTATATCCAGTTGTGCATTTCAGAAATCTGGAGACATCCCCGATACCATCATCTCCCCATACCCATAAACCAAGTCTTGTTCTTTTCACCCCTAAAATATTCTTAGATGGACTCACTTTTTATCCATGTCTTTCCGATAGCCTTAGTCCAAGCTATCATCATCATCTTTCTGGATTAATGTTAGTAACCTTCTGTTGTCTCTACCTCCAATCCATTCGCTGTAGATCAGTCAAACTATTTTAAAATACAAATATGATTGTATAGCTTCCACACTTCAATTGCTTTTAGGATCTCTAAGCCAACAACTTAGCAAATCTGTGGTGCTCTGCAAAATCTGGTCTGGGCCTTCTCCCACAACCATGTTCTAGTTATATTGGCTTTATTTTTGTGTTTCAGGGATTTTGCTGTTATCTATATCTGCCTGCTACTTTTATTAGTTTTCTATTTTTTTTTTTTGCTGTAACAAATTACCACAAATTTAGTGGCTTAAAAATAAATATTTTATATATTTTAGAGAAAGGGAGAGGGAGAAAGAGAAACATTGCCTCCTGCACACCCCACACTGGGGATTGAGACTGTAACCTGGGCATATATCCTGACCAGGAATTGAATCAGCAACCTTTGTTGCATGGGATGAGGCCCAACTGAGCCACTCCAAGCCACATTGGCCAGGGTTCAACTAAATTTGTTTCTTTTAACAAGCATTATTTTATAATTCTGTAAATCAGTAGTCTAATATGGTCTCATTGATGTCAGCTGTGTTCCTTTCTGGAGGCTGAAGGGGAGAATTTATCTTTTACAGCTTCTCAAGGCCACCGCATTTTTCGCTTATGGCCCACTTTCTGCTTTCTTTTTTTTTTTTTTTTTTTTTAAATATATTTTATTGATTTTTTACAGAGAGGAAAGGAGAGAGATAGAAATAGAGAGTTAGAAACATCAATGAGAGAGAAACATCGATCAGCTGCCTCCCGCACATCCCCCACTGGGGAAGTGCGCGCAACCCAGGTACATGCCCTTGACCGGAATCGAACCTGGGACCTTTCAGTCCGCAGGCCAACGCTCTATCCACTGAGCCAAACCGGTTTCGGCAACACTTTCTGCTTTCAAAGCTAGGAAATTGCATCTCTCTGATCACTCTTGTGTAGTCATAGGTCCCTCTGAATAAAGCTGAGAAAGGTTCTCTGATTTGAAAGCTGCATATAATTAATTGAGCACATATGAATAATCTAAAACAATCTTCCTTTTGCCGTGTTAAGGTACCATATTCAGACTCTGGGGATTAGGACATGGACATCTTTGGGAGTGTGAGTGTGTGTGTGTGTGTGGGGCGGGGGAGCATTCCTGTGCCTACCACACTAGTTTTAGTTAAGTGCAAAACTCCGATAGTGACTTTAGGGTTTTTGTTAGGTAACCGAATGTCTTACATAGCAACAAGTAGGCAGTTAGTACTAATTCAGCTGCTCAACACCACCAGGTACCCAAGCCTTTTCTCTTTCCATTTTGTCATCTTTAATGCCTTGGATTTTGCTTATAGGATTATTGTGTCATGATGGCTGCTGCTTCACCACATATCACATTTGTATCCAAGGCAGACAGAAGAGGGAAGGATGGTGTACCAGATACCATCAGTGCTCCTAGTTCTTTTTTTTTTTCTTTTTTAAAAATATATTTTATTGACTTTTTACAGAGAGGAAGGGAGAGAGATAGAGTTAGAAACATCGATAAGAGAGAAACATCGACCAGCTGCCTCCTGCACACCTCCTACTGGGGATGTGCCCGCAACCAAGGTACATGCCCTTGACCAGAATCAAACCTGGGACCCTTCAGCCCCCAGGCCAACGCTCTATCCACTGAGCCAAACCAGTTAGGGCTGTGTTCCTAGTTCTTATCACTTCACTGCACAGTAGCCAGACTTCCAGCTGTGGCTTAGTCCTGCTCCATACTCTCTGTTGACCCATATACCAAGATAGCACTGAAGAGTGGGCCTAAGCTGTCAGTTGGACATCCTTAGCGCTGCAGAAGAGGCTCCCACCACTGCCAGTCAGCCCCACTTGTGGCTGAGCAGCTCCCCTTGTGGGAGCGCACTGACCACTAGGGGACAGCTCCTGCATTGAGCGTCTGCCCCCTGGTGGTCAGTGCATGTCACAGTGACCAGTCATTCCACCATTAGTGTCAATTTGCATATTACCCTTTTATTATATAGGAGGATGACTTTAACCTCCAAATCCAGAGACAAAAATCTTATTTCAGTAACAGCAACCAGAATGCTCAGGAGGACAGATAATTTCCACAGCAATAATAATTGTCCAAAGTTTATGTTGGGCTGGTTTCGAAGTATTTAAGATGCTGTATTTGAAATACTAGAGGCCCGATGCACAAAAATTCATGCAAGTGTAGGCCTTCCTACCCCCAGCTGCCGACACCAGCTTCTCTCCAGCACCCGGGACCTGGGCTGGCTTTCCTCTGGCCTTAGCTTCATCAGGAAGGATGTCCGGAAGGATAGCTGGTCTAATTAGCATGTTGCCCTTTTATTATGATAGATACTTCAAGCTTGAGAATTAGAAACTGCATAGATTGTATAATTTTACTCAAAGCATAATTGTACCACTAGATGGTGACATGTATACAAATTATTGAAAAGTCATCAGCAATGTACTAGCTATGGAAGGTGTATGGTGGTTGCTGATTAGTTTTATGAAAATCAACTTACAAGAATTTAGGAGAGCCGAAATCGGTTTGGCTCAGTGGATAGAGCGTCGGCCTGCCGACTGAAGGGTCCCGAGTTTGATTCCGGTCAAGGGCATGTACCTGGGTTGCGGGCACATCCCCAGTGGGGAGTGTGCAGGAGGCAGCTAATCGATGTTTCTCTCTCATCGATGTTTCTAACTATCTCTCTCCCTTCCTCTCTGTAAAAAATCAGTAAAATATATTTTTAAAAAAAGAATTTAGGAGATATTTTGTCAGATTCTGTTCCATAATTCTTTTAGAATTCACACCTCTCAAGTCTATTAAAAAGTCTCTGTTGACACATATACCAAGACAGCACTGAAGAGTAAAGACTATAGAGTCAGGAGGCAGGCAGGCAACCTTTTTTTTTTTAAAATATATTTTATTGATTTTTTACAGAGAGAAAGGGAGAGAGATAGAGAGTTAGAAACATCGATGAGAAACATCAATTAGCTGCCTCCTGCACATCTCCCACTGGAGATGTGCGCGCAACCCAGGTACATGCCCTTGACCGGAATCGAACCCGGGACCTTTCAGTCCGCAGGCCGACGCTCTATCCACTGAGCTTCTATGACCTTATCTATTTACAAGCAGCTGAAGTAAAGGGTTGGTAAACTACAACCCATAGACCAAATATGGCTGGTTACCGGTTTTTGTGTGTCCTGTGGGCTAAGAATAATTTTTAAATGGTTGAAAAAAATTTCAAAGTCCATTAAAGTTTTATTGGAGTACAGCCATACTTATTCAGTATATATTCTCTTTTTTTTTTAAAATATATTTTATTGAGTTCTTACAGAGAGGAAAGGAGAGAGATAGTTAGAAACATCGATGAGAGAGAAACATCGACCAGCTGCCTCCTGCACACTCCCTATTGGGGATATGCCCACAACCAAGGCACATGCCCTTGACCGGAATCGAACCTGGGACCCTTCAGTCCGCAGGCCGACGCTCTATCCACTGAGCCAAACCGGTTTCGGCAATATATATTCTCTATGGCTCCTTTTCTGTTTAGAGTGGAGTAGTTGGGATAAGAAATAGAGACTAAAATATTTATCTGGCCCTTCACAGAAGTTTGTTGAATACTGAAGTGATGATTAAATGATCATACCTGGGAGTAATTCTCTAATCAATCCTCACCTGAGGACATGCTGAGCGAGAGAAAAACATCCATCAGTTGCCTTCTTTGTGCACCCTGACCGCAATCAGGGTATGTGCCCTTATCGGGAATCAAACGGGCAAACTTCCAGTGCACTGGATGAAGCTCCAACCAACTGAGCACTCTGGCTGGGACAAGATTCTCAAATCATTTCTCGTAATTATGTAAAGAAGAAACCATAGAAAGCAACTGATTAAAAAAATATTTAAAGGTTAGAATATGTAGTTTTCCTATTTTCAAGAACTGTTATGTGTCCTCTGTGGTCTTAAAAGCATAGTTGACAGATAACTTACAAGTTATCAAAAAAAAGCTATATCAGTTAGGAATGTGGCTACAAATAATGGAAATCTAAGCGTGGATTAAGGAAAAAGGGGGTAGAAGCTGCTCAAAGATGTATCAGTGATCCACCCACACCTTACAATTCTGTACCATCAACTTTATGGTGGCATTTATCTTGTTTGTGGTTTCATTGTTAAAACTCAAAATGGATGCTGTATTACTTTGTGTATCAGGAGCATGTTTCAGGCAGAAAGAACTAAGGGTTAAGGGGCATGTCTGCTGAATTTGACCCTTTTATTAGGAATGGGCAATTCTTTCCAAAAGACCCACTCTGCAGATTTCATTTTTAACAAATTTGTAGAAATCATTTTTGTTTCCACTTATTTGTATCTCCTTCAATTTCTTCCCAGCCTTTTGATTGAATTTGTGTGTGTGTGTGTGTGGGGGGGGTGATACTGGTTCACCGAATTGCACGGGCTTCTGGCGCCCAGGTCCGCAGCCCATCCTCCTTAGGACGCGCTCACCGCCAACTCTGCGGCTTTCTGCTTCCGTGTCGCTGGCGAGAACGCAAACATGCGGCCGCCTGAGAGCTCACACCCGGCCTGGCTGTCAATCGACAGGAGACATTACTGGGGGCTGTCCCGAGACGGGGGTTTCTCCGATGGCCCCTGAAAATACCCACAAACGAACCCACTTGGCTGTGGAGGGTCTCCCGGCGGCAGGGAA